TAAGACTCTCAGGAGGATGTTAAAATACGTGTTGAAAACAATCATCCTTGCCTTGGAGGAGAAACATTTGGTCTTTCACCATTAAGAATGGTGTTAGCTGTGGGTGTTTTGTAGATGTCTGTTATCAGATTAAGAAAGTTTAGACTTTTTTAAATTAATGGATATTGAATTTTGTCAGATGCCATTTCTGCATCTATTGAAATAATTTAACTGCATCCCATACATTTAGTTATTTGTGTTTTCATTTTCATTTAGTTCACAATATTTTCTAATTGTCCTAATTTTCTCTCTGACCCATTTAAAAATATGTTTCTTAATTTCCCAGGTACTTTTTTGTTATTTGTTTCTAGTTCACTTAATTTTGTTATTGTCAGAAAACATATTTTTGTTGTTAATCCTTGCCCAAGGATATTTTCCATTGATACTTAGAGTGGAAGGGAGGGGTAGAAACAAAAAGAAATATCAATATGAGGCACATCAATTGGTTATAATAGCTACTTCAAAAGCTTTTCTAATAATCACAGCATCTAAGTCATCTAAAAGTTGGCATATGTTGATTTAATTCCCCTTGAAAAGTGGTCAGATTTTTCTGGCTCTTTGTATGTTGAACAATTTTAGATTGTATCTTAGGCATTGTGTAGACTCAGTCCTATTATAATCTTTTATAGAATATTGATTTTGTTGTTGTTTATAGTGGCAATAAACTAATTTAGGTCAGGCCTTAAGTCTATCTCACTTTCTGTTGGTGGTGGTTCTAATTTCAGCACAAATCCACAAGAGAAAAGAGAAAAGAAAGGAAAATTTAGCCCACACAAATGACTTCTCCAAATTTTGACTCTTCAATACCATCTTCCTGCTTTTGTTTAATTTTCAGTCAGTAGGTAGTTGTTTTCTATTTTTGTCCAGAGTTTTATATAATCAGTAGGAGACATAAACTCTAGTGGAATTACTCTTCTTGCCCAGAATTTGAAACTCCTACCCAGTTTATTTTGATTTGCTAGTGTCTTAACAAGCTAGATAAACGAAGTTCCAAAGCATCAAGAAGACAGTGACCGCAGGAGAAAAGCTCAAAGCTAAGAGGAAATAAGTCCTTTTCCCATGGTTAGAGTCCTGGTTAGGTGTGAAGGCACTCCTACCTTGTGATACCCAGACCAATGGGATTATTTCTGTTCTCTGGATGAGAAGAGTAAGAAAGAGCTCATGATTTGCCGATGTGGTCTCCAATCTAATTCCCGGACCTTCTGTTCTGTATTGCATGCAGGGCACTGACCATTACAAACTACATTTCCAAAGATTCCTGGACAATCAGCTTTCATGCGATTACACCAATAGGAGGCACACACATGACATTGGAGGGCTGGAGGAGGAGAAGCCAGAGTGTTTCTCCCACTCTCTCTGCTTCAGGCAGCAATAGCTGTTTCTTTTGTGGTCTGGATTCCTCAGATACCCTTCCCCCCAATGTCCCCGCTGAGCTGCCCTGGTGCCTCAGCTCCAGGATGCCGCCTCCTCTCCCAGCCTTCCCCCCTACAAGTGGTTGTGGTTTCTCGTTTACCTGGTCTCAGGGTGGCCTCACATCCCTTTGACCTTTTCAACTCTTGCGTCATTTTTATAACCAGCTTCTTCTATTAAATTCCTGCTACTGAAATACCGGCATAGGCTCGGTTTACAGGGACTCAGACGGACACAGTCCATGTGGGAGGACAGGAAGGAAACTCTAGCTCAGGACTCCTGATTTACAGGTCAGTATCCCTGCTGCCCTTCTCTGGCTGAGAGGGTACGTCAGGAAACAGACCACCTTGTGGCCAACCCTGAGGGCAAGGCCTTGATCGAAGTTGCACATTATTTTACAGGAATGTAAGATGTCGCTGTTCATATGTAATCCATTTTCTAAGAATGTCGTCTTGTATTCATCAGCCTCTTCCTTTCGTGATAATACAGTAGATGATCATGTAGACTCTTTCGCACCTATATCCCCACTCCTCCCAGGGGTCCTTCTGGAACAGGCAGACAGGGTGAGTTGTGAGAAACTGAAGTGACTTCATAAAAACCCAGAAGAGCAGGAGAAGGGAACTGAACAAGAATCAGGGCTGGGACTGAGCAAGACCCCAGCTGAAGTGGTCAGCGGTGCCCATGAGAGGAGGGGATGGCTTCACGCCAGGAGCAAACTGGGGGTAATGGGGCGCAGGGGTGTCTGAGAGGGGTCAGAGTTTTGGCAACGTCCTCAAGGCCATAAGGCTGATAAATGGCAGAGGGGGAGGAGAAAACTTCCTGACTGACCCCAGAAGGGGTGCAGGAACCAGGTTGGAGTTGGGACCACAGCCAGGGGAGGAGGAAAACGCCTGGCCCAGCCACAAGCCTTTCCCACCAGCTCAGGACACAGGTCAGCGTGTGATGGTCTCTGTCCTGCTTATGAGGCGGAAATAAAGGCACAGCCAGCACCTGTCACAAAAGAGCTTTAATGGTCTCCTATTTATGGTTCTTTTGTTCATTGTCCTGTTAAGAGTTGAATAAACTTTAATAACTTATCTGACGTAATAAGGAATGCCACAGGTACAACAAATAAACCTGGCAGGCGGCCCAGGAGTGAGGGTGTCACAAAAGGATCAGTCACAGAAAGAAGGGCTACAGACCTGGGGACCCGTCCCAGTCGCCTGTCACCCCCGGCACCCAGGACCCTCCCAGGGCCACGGTATCAGGCTGAGCACTGGCCCCCATTGAGTGGGAAGAGCTCCCCACCCCCACCCCAGTGTCTGTGGCTGGCCCTCAGCACTGAGCAGACGTTCCAGTGAGTCTGGGATCCTGCACGCGTCCCCCAAGGGCTCTGCTGATCTGTGGCACAGACCGGTCGCACCCCGAGCTCATGAGGCTCCCACTTCTCAGGTGATGCCACCTCCCATTCCTCCTGTGAGACTTTCTGTAATTCCTGTGAGGTGGGCAGAGCCTGGCCCTAGCCCCATGCTACACAAGGAGAAACTGAGGTCGGTGGGTCCCAAGAACACACTCAGCTGATCGTGGAGCACCGCCTGACTGGCAGTGCCCTAAGCCTCACACGTCTACCCAGAATGCCCTGAGCAGGGGGCAGACAGGATTCTGTGCCAAGGGCTGGTCTAGGTCTCACCAAAGTGCCCACTCTCAGCCCTGATGAGGGGCCTGGGGAAAGGGACAGGCTGGCAGGGAGAGGGTTTGGGAGCCTGCAGGTAGGGGGCCAGCCTCTCTCCAGGCACCCTCCTGCGGCCCACACACCCCATTGCCCATAAATTAGAAGTGCTCAAGGGTGCCTTGCTGCCTGAAAGGCCTCTGGACAGATCCTGCCCTCACAGGGGAGATTTTGCTATCAAGTCCTGTCCCAGCATTTCTTTTAGGAAACCCGGGCTCGCATCTACCTGGCCATGTGTAAAGAGGACCCTGACTCTAGTTTCTCCTGCCATCACCCTGTCCGTTCTGTCATCCCCCGTGCCTGGGCCAGGAGAGCTGGGTATCATACCGGGGTGAGGGCTGGGCCTGTTTCCTTGCTCCACACTCCCCGATGCTGCAGGGGCCAATATCAGGGTCAGGACCCACCCGCACTGCGCACCAGGCTGGGCCCCAATGAAATCTAAGCCCCAGCCACAGGGTGGAGGGCTATGAAATCATCAAATGGGTACGTGTGTGTGTGTGTGTGTGAGAGAGAGAAAGAGAGAGAGAGAGAGAGAGAGAGAGAGAGAGAGAGAGAGAGAGAGAGAGAGAGAATCGGCAAATGCTTGGGCCTGGGTGTGTGACCCAAGTTCCAATACAAGTCTGCACGGGAATGCTAGAGCCATTCCTACATGAAAAGCAAGAGTAGAACCTGTGCTTGCTGGTCGAAGATCAAACCTCCGAATGGTGGTTTGGAGAATTATTTATTTATTTTTTTTCCCAAAGGAAATTTGAAGGTGAAACCTCAGTAGGCAAGTCAGATAAAAGCAGAGTTGTTCTGGTGGAAGTGGTAATGGCGGAGGGCTGGAGACCTATCCTACGCCTCCACCCCTCCCTTCCCACTTTAGCAGTCCCTGGCAAATCTCTGTGGAACACCAGGGGTTCCACGGCACCTGGTTTGAAAACCCCTGTGTCAGCATGTCTACAGATCATGGGTCCTGGGGACCTGTGCTTTGACTTCCCTTTCAGGGTGAAGAGTTGGGAGAGAGCGATGGGGGGAGGATGCTCCCCCTTCAAGAGACCTCTCTTTGAAGCCACTGGGCAGTGACCCTGCAGGGGAGTGTTAGAGGTGAGAATCCTGTCCCAACAGGTGGGCCAGTTCAGTCCTGGAGGGAGGACAGAGGGATGGGACTGCCTGGGCCAAGGTGCAGGCCCAATGTAGGCTTATGCACGATGGTGGAGGGAGTCTGTTTTGGTCCTTGTTGGCTTTAAAAAGAAACACGTGAGAACAGGTACAAGCCTGTGTCCATGAGACCCTATAAGAGTTCAAGACCGGGGCCCAGTGCCTTCTTTCGGGAGAGGGAGAGAATGTCCATCACCAGTCACTGGCAGGAGAGAAGCAGCCTTGGCTGAGGCTACTGGGGACAGGACAGCTGGGCTCAGCTCTCAGTGTCCGAGGCCTGGGTTTTCCCTGAGCCAAAATGCCTCCCCAAGTATCGTCAAGAAGCATTGGACATCCTGTGTGACCCTGGAGGGGACATTGTACTTTGAGGGAAGGGACAGGCAATTTCTATTCCACCTCCTCTTGGGTTCTTCGGTGGATCACTGATTTGGGGATTGGAGCTTGGGGTTCTCACCAACCTGGGACAAGCGCCAAGGCTTCCTGGCCTCTGTGGGGTCCGAGAGATGGAAGATGTGGGTGATACCAAGCCCGAGAGGGACAAAGGTGCCCCAGTCCCAGTCATTGACAATATCCTCTCTGAGCTGTAGCATAGGACTATGCAGGTGGGCACCAGCTCAGGGGCATGTAGGGCTAACCTCAGCCTGTGCACCATTCATAAAACTGTCCATGCTAACGTGGGTGGAGGCCACCTGGAGGGGGCGCCATGTCTAATTCAGATCAAGGCACTAAATGGACTAGCAGCAGCCATGGAGCTCTGAATAAAACAGCCAATTCCTCCCCCATGACTTTCCCCAGGACCATGAGCTCCCTGAGGACAGGATCTCCAGTGTTCGGCACAGGGCAACGAAGTTACCAGCCAGGGATGCTTAAGATCACTTCCAATGAACTTGACCACTGCCCTGCTGCAGCCCTGCACCCCAAGAGGGAAAAGCTAACTGGGCCTACGATGCTTCCTGCAGCTGGAGAAATTTCAGGCAAATACTGGGATGAACACAAAAGGGTGAGTGAGATGTTGGGGTAGAAGCTCAGGTCCTTTGTGCGCACAGGTTAGAGATGGAGGAGAAGGGGTGTCGGAGTGATTATCCCAAATCCTAAAGGGTCTTATGCCAACTCCAAAGATTCCGGAGGAAGACTCTGGAGACCACACGCTTGTGGTGTGCTGTTCCAGCATCTCCCCAGCTCTACAGCTGCCCGGGGAAGTGCACACAGCCCGGCAAGCTCTGGCAGGGGCTCGGTGCCTGAGGCGCCTGCAGCTGGGACCCAAGGTCTGGCCAGCGGGGTGTGACTGTCTTGAGCTGACTGCATTCTCACCTGGGTAGGGGTCACCAGGATTGAATCTTCAGGAGATTCAGAAGAGAAGGGCTAGGACAGTGCCAAGCATGGGAACTGGGTAATCTCATCATGATAAGTGGTTGCCCAGGCCACCCCAATAGGCAATGGATTGAAAAGGATTGAGAGATTTAACTTATATAATAAAATTTTGCCGTCTCCTTTCAGACAGGTATGGGATAGAAATAGAAGGAAGCAGGAATTGAGGAGAGAGCCTCTTGCTCCACAAATCAATATAGTTGCTTGGGTTTAAGGTAAACCTCAGGTATCGGCATTCTCGGGGGCTCTAAGTTACTGGAGGTCCTATCACAAGCACTCCTCCCTCCCACCCCCACCCCCCGCCCCCAAGTCTTAGCAAATACAAGCTCTGTCCTTTTGTAATAATCAGGCCCCAGGGCCGAGCAGCACATGACAGCTAAGGCCACACCTTGACACCAGGCAATCTCCAGAGGCCCAGGAAGGGCCCTCCATCCCAGGCCTGGGGGGAAAGTGGAAGCTCTCCAAGATCCTGCCACCTGGGGGGGGGGGGGGGGAGGAGGGGGGTCTAATGAGTCCCCTCGGGAGGAGCCAGAACAAGGTCAGAGGCTCTGGCTCCACCCACCAAACCAGAAAGTCATGGTTCACACATTCTTAGGAGGCCAGGGCTGGGAGGACCCTTTGTGATCATTGGTAAAACCCCTTGGTTTTCCAGGTGAAGAACTGAGGTCCAGAAAAGGGAAAGGAACTTGCCCAAGGTCACATAGTAAGGGAGCAGCAAAGGCCAGATAACAGAGACCTCTGAACACCTCATCTGCCTGTCCCGTTGCCCTGGAAACATCCCAGGTCTCAATCACACCAGCCAATGGGTGCTGGGTTCCCATGACACAGGGGGGCGGGGGCGGGGAGGGGGAGGATTCATCAAATCCCCAAGGAAACAAAAGGTTCCTTGCTAGGCAGCAGTTCCCTCCCTTTTAGTTGAGGGCACCCCGATGGACCCTGCCACCTTCTGGGGAAGGACCCCTTTTGCCTGTGGGTGTGGTGGCCATAGGTGCTGCCTCCCAGACTACAGGACCAACCTAGCCCAGCCCTGGAGAACTGCAAGGTGGAGGCAGGAGGACACCGATGTCTCCAGACCCCTTTAGACTCCCAGGCTTGCTTCCCACAGCATCGCCAACCACCAGTCCACAAAGAAAGGAAACAGGACAGATGCCCACCTTTCCGCCCCTGCCCCCATCTCTCAGAGCCACCCTCCCGGAAACCTCTCTGTAGCTTCGGCTCACTCTGTCTGGAGGAGGAGCGGGGGGGTACATTTCTGAAGACCCCCTCCTTTTCTCTCTCTATGTGCATATTTATAGGCAGGACACACACAGAAGATACAGGGTAGCTAGGTTATAGCCTGACAATACTGAAAGAGACTACAGCTTGCCTTACACTCTCTAACTGCTGGTATGAGAGTCAGTCCAGTTGCTCTTGTCCACGCCTGGGGTCTACACCAATGTCACTGTCAGACACAGAGGGACAGGGGTAGGAGCGAGGAGGTGTTTTGTGGGTCAGGACTGCCAAAAGGCATTGAGAATCTATCCACAGTCTGTCCTCCCGGCCAGAAGAGGGCGTGGCTTTCACCATGGCCATCTTTTAGCTGCCAGACCGTGTTCACCACCTGGGGCTGTGGGCGTTCCTTCCCTCACACATCTGGCCCCCTCAGCCCCACCCTTCCAAGTCCTGTGCCCTATCGTTCCACCCCCCCCCCCCCCACTCCCCATCCCAAGTCAAATCCCAAGGCCGGAGCCACGGTGGCCTTTCTGGGGGTCAGCAGAAAGAGGACGGAGAGGTGACTGCAGTGACTGGGTTATGGTGGTGCACGCGGCCCCGTTGGCGTGGTGATGCGGGGCCCGTGCTGAGGCCAGAGGTTCACCACCACAACCTGGAAGACCACTGGGCCCCTGGCGGAGACTGGAAGAACAGAGGGGAGGGGGCACCAGGACAGGAAGAAGACGAGGAAGCAGCCTAGTGCAGAAAGGCGGGCTTGGAGTTGCCCTCGGGGCTGGCCCCGGTCTATCTGTCGTTGAGCTGTGGAGAGCCGGTACCATCCTCCTCCTCCTCCTTGTCGTCCTTCAAGCCCTTCAGTCTCTGCCGGGCGAAGTCCTCAAACACAATGTCGTCGTCGCTGGTGGGAAAGACAAGGAGGACGGGGAGGTGTTTGCAGGGCAGGGAGAGCAGGCGTCCTTAGAGGGGTCAGAGGGCCAGCATGCCGATGGGACTGACACTGAGTGGGTGGGCTGACCCTGGGCACAAAGGCCTGCCAGGCTGATACACCGGTCACATCTGGCCTCCAGCCAGTTGTGGAAACAACAGAGGAAGGCGTACATGTGCCTCTCACGCCTACGGGCTGGAAAGTGACCTGGTTCTTGAGGCCCTGGGGGCGGGTGTAGCCGGGCTAGGGGCGGAGGAAGAACCCACTCATACTGTGAGAGGCCAGGCCACCAGCAGGTCCACAGCACACTCTGGGTTCCCCAAGAACAGGCCCAGAGGACCCCCCCCTGCCACTCCCCTAAAGGACTCCCTCAGGAAGCTTTTCGGTTTCTGCACAGGAAGGAATAGTTGACTTCCTGGGAGAAAAACCGTGATGGCCCTTTCTCCAGGAAAGTGCCGGCTCACGTTCTACCTGAGGGGTCTTGGAGAGGAAGGGTTTGGGGGTACAAAATCTAAACAGGGGAGCAGGAAGGGTGGGTGGGGCAAGGGGGTGCCTGAGTGGGTTTTCAGGACTAAGCACTGCTTTCAAGCACAACGAGTTCCCTTCTACTATGAAACAGGTCCACTTAGGCCCACCCGAGTCCTCTGTCCCCCAGAATTCAGCCAGCGGTGTAGGGGTGTTCTCCTAGGCCCCAGGACCTAGGGTGACTTGAAATCTCACATCCCAAATATCTCCTGGGAGACAAGGGAAGCGTGGATTTGGAGCTGGAACGAGAAAGCTGGTTTGCCCTGGAGGTGGTTCATGATTTTGGCCCAGGTCCTCCCCCTCTGGCAACTGTCCTGTGAGCCTCTGGCTGCAGGGAAATCCACATCAGTCCTCAGGAGTCAGGAGCAATAAGAACCCTCCCCACCTCCCAGCCTGATTTCTCTGGTTGGGCCCTGGTGGGACATGAGAGCCCCCGCCCAGGGCCATGAACCAGCCGTGTGTGAGCCAAGCAGGTGCCATGGACAGACGGATGGACGTGCCAAGGATGAGGGGATAAGACAAACCCCACTGAGGCAGGAGGAAGGGAAGCAGGCACAGAGGGTCCTTCAAGTCACATGCAGGCAAGCGGCTTGCTCAAGAGGCAGCAGAGGCGGCTCTCTGCAGACAAGGTTAGCCCAGCTGCTCCCCAGGGGTTAATAAGCATATATGCAAATGACCCTGCTGCCCCACCCACCACCCAACCTCCGCTCCCGACATCTGTAGGCGAGGTTTGGCTTACTTTGTGTCAAGTTCTATGAGGTTGGTATCCACGGGCGTCTCACTCTCTGGAACTAAACACAGATGGGCAGGCACCCACGGGTTAGTGTGAGTGGGTATGGGACACAGGATCCCCGCCCCAGAACAGCCAGCTAAGATGAGGAGGATAACGGAAGAAGGGAGTGGGAAGGAAGACTGGTCCCTGGTCTCAGAAATACCCCAGAACTTCCCAAAGGCGGATGAGAGGCTCCGGGAAGGTCCCAGAGGCCCCCGCAGCCCCAGGAGTTCCCGCTCCTGTGGGCTCATTTCCAATGTGAGGTAGATCCCTGTCTTCCATGCCTCTCTTTCACCTACTCTAACACAACCGGGTTTTGTTTTTTTCACATTTCCCCAACCCTGACCTTGGGGTGTTTTTATAACCAACAGCATTGCATTGTCTAATTGTGGGAACATTTTTCTTTCTTTGTGGAACATAGTATGTAACGTCTCTTTGACTGAAAGAGTCTTCGTGAAGTATGGCCAACCTGGAATCTCTCAGGAAAACTGTGGTGTCCAGGGGCCACCTTACCCACGGAGCCCCCTTTCCCACATCTGGATGCAAGAGAAGGATTCCAGGCATGGCCAGGGGGCCCCCTCTACTTCCAGCTTCCCCCCACCCCACCCCCAGCCCATAGGGGGCAGAGCCAGACCTCCCTGTCACCTAGGGAGTTAAACGTCAATAGGAGTGTGGGCCTCGCACAAGATCCTGGGGAGCTGGGGAAGAGGGGTGACCCTGGGCTAGAGCTGACCCAGCGGGGAGTGGGGTGATGGGAAAACATGGCAGCTGGTGGAGAAAGGGGTCGGCTCTCTGGAAACCCCCACCCCGGTGACCCACAGACCCTGCTCACCTTCCCGTAGTGGGGGCTCCTCTTTGGGCTTGGGGTGCATCAGGGTGAAGGGCAGTTCCACGGCCACGTCACTGAAACAGAGACCCAGACCCCGTGAGCCTAGAGCCCAGTCTTTGGTTGTGAGACTCAGCGCCCTGTCAGTTGGAGGACGGGGGAGGGTTTCCTGGTCAGAAGAGGTAGCTCTGGGCGGAGAGGTGGGGAATCCTGCCTCAGACCCTGGTTCTCTGAGAGGGATCCCTGGACTCCCACGAGCTGGGAGGAGACATGGGGGTGGGAGGAGCGTGGCTCAGGACGGTGTGTGCCTCTTGGTCCCTGGTGGTTCCAGAGGAGGCAGGGGGGGCCTGCCAACCTCAAATCCCCACCGCCATCTGGACACTGCGTTCCCCAACGTCCTGGTTGGAGCCCCCCTGACCCTCACTCCGTCCCATCTCCCAACATCTCCAGGAGGCTCCACTGAACGTGCTCAGGTGGCCCTCGCCCCTGCCGTCTGGATGATGCACAGCTAAGGCCAGTTCAACCCAATTCAGGTTGGTGGAAGCCCGGCCCTGGGGCCATCACATCGTGCCTGGAGGCTTAAAGCCCAGGGGGATGGAGTGGGGTCCTGGGGAGGAGCAGGGGAGGTGCTGCCACCAGCCAGCGCTTCTGACAGACAGGATGATAACAAGATCAGACACTAACATGACGCTGACTCTGTCAAGGGCCACCCTAGAACCGTGGTCGGCAAACTGCGGCTCACGAGCCACATGCTCGGCCTTTTGGCCCCTTGAGTGTGGCTCTTCCACAAAACACCACGGCCTGGGCGAGTCTGTTTTGAAGAAGTGGCGTTAGAAGAAGTTTAAGTTTAAAAAATTTGGATCTCCGAAGAAATGTCAATCGTTGTCCTGTTGGTATTTGGCTCTGTTGACTAACGAGTTTGCTGACCACGGCGCTGTAGCAACTCTAATCTTCACAACCGTGCTATTCCTGCACCCAGTGGGCAGGTTGGGAAACTGAGGCACCAGGAGTGAAAGTGTCTTCCCCAAGGGCACACAGCCATTAACGGGAAGCGATAGGCAGGCTTCTGACTCCCTGATTCACAGCCTTAATCACTGAGGAGCCCAGCTCAGAACGGAGGTGATTTCCACCCACTTTCTCCTCTGACTCACAAAAGCAGCCCCAAGGCTCCTCCTCTCACTTGAGCTGGTGGGGGAGGGGGGGCGGGCGTGGGGTCCCATAGGAGGCCCTGCCAACTGTGAGTGCTGCCAGGCACCTCCTCACCTCACTGACCTTGCTGCCCAGGGCCCTGCTAGGAGGGCGAAGGGACAGGGAGACGGAGGGGACAGACCGACAGATAGCCCCACCACTCAGTGGGCAGCACTTTACGTCTTTAAGCCTCACTGAGCTCCTCTGGAAAACGGGGACAGCTGCACCCATGTTCTAGAACCATGTTCTAGAACTTCCAGGAAGTGGTGCAGGTGCAAGGCTCCGTTAGACACGGAAACATGTGCCTGTGCAAACCATGACTTCCCCTCAGTAAGAACATGGCGGTTTCATGTGGCTCTCATGCCCGGCTGGCGTGGCTCAGTGGTTGAACGTCAACCTATTAACTAGAAAGTCACGGTTGAACCTCAGTCAGGGCACATGCCTGGGTGGCAGGCTTGATCCCCAGGGTGGGGCGTGCAGGGGGCAGCCAATCAATGATTCTCTCTCATCATTGATGTTTCTCTCTCTCTCCCTCTCCCTCTTCCTTCCTCTCTGAAATCAATAAAAAATATATATTTTTTAAAAATAGAAACAAATAAATAAATAATTTGGCTTTTTTTTTTCCCCCTCCTCTATTTTGCTTCAAAATGGGGACTGCTTTTCCAGGTGCACTTGGGAGATCTCAGAATGGAAGCTGGTGGAAGACCAAGCTGGCAGCCTTCCCTCGGGGACACAGCTGGGAGCATCCGGACCTTCACCTTCCACCAGACCCCGAGGGACCGAGGACAGGGGTTGTGATGATCCCTCTCTGGAACCTCAGCACCCCGCACCAGGCGAGCACAGGGCTGGGTTCAGGAAATCTTGACTGAAATGCATTGAATGGAACCGAACTGAATTGTATTTCCCCCTCTCCAAATGGACTGATTTCTTGGGCGAGCAATAGTGCCCTCTTGTGTCAGAAGGAGGCAGCACCACTGCGTTTGGGACGTGTGCCTTTGTGGAAGGAAGGTGTGTGGATCCAGCCGGGGACCAGGGAGTCTTGTCCACCAAGGCAGATCTCCACAGGGCCTCTCCTCCGCAACCCTCCACCAGCAGTTCTTTCTCAAGAGGGCAGTCGTTTGAAAGCCACGAAGCTGGCGTTTCCTCAAAACAGTCTATGATGCAGACTCATGGGGGGCTGCTCCCTGCATCGGCAAAGCCGGCCGTGCAGCTGTCTGCAGAGGTCCCTGTCACCTGGGCCTAGTGAAGTGCAGCCTGAGGCTTTCAGAGGAAGGACGGCAGCCCCCGGACGCATGCCCCAGCCTTCCAACCACGGGCCCTGCAGCTCGGAAAGGGGGTCAGTCAGGTCCGAGGGAGGGACTTTACCTGGACGCAAGGTCTCCCAACAGGCTGGGTGGGCCAGAGGAGGCGGGAGGAGTGGTCAGGAGAGAGTGAGGGGGAAGAAAACAGAAAGCATGTTCATTCACCGCCTCTGCCGCCCTGGGGCTCACGCCCACCCACCCCCGCGGGGCTGTGGCTGCTCTTTTGGGGACACACGGAAGGCAGTCACCCTTCCCCAGGGGGCTGAGATCTGGTCAGGCTCAGCCACCACCCCCTCCCCCCAGGCCTCGCTGAGCCCCGGGACCCAGGTCTGCAGCGGAGACATGAACATAAACATGAACCCCAGAGCGGCCCCTCCTAGGAAGCAGCTCGAGGCAGCCTGGGTCCTGCAAGAGCCACAGGACGCGGGGCCTGGGCTTGCAATTCTGAGAGGTCCTATAATTTGCAATCAGTGTTACCCGCCACCACTGCAATAGGCATTATTCTCATGATAAAGGGGATGGACATCGAATGTTATTCGCTTTCCACCCTTTTTTTTTTTGGAGAAACGCGTGAATTAGAAAAATATCCCTGTGACGACTCTCTAAATCCAAATCAGAAATCTAGGTCTAGAACCACATGTGGGTCTAATACGGGGGAGAAGGTAGTTCTTTCTGAGCGCCCCCTGCCCCAGACTGTGCTCCAGGGCAGGGAACACGTCTGGCCCACGGCCATGACCCCACCCCATCCCTCCCCCATGACCTGAGATGAGGCGGGGAGACTGCAGGACGTGTTTGGGGGACTGTTGGTGCTTCCTGTTTCTCCGTCTGTAAAATGGGAACGCCAGAACACCCCCCAACCCAGCTGTGGGAGTCCCAGCCCCTTTAACCATCTCCCCAGCTGATCAGCATGGGCATGAGTGGGGGGGGGGTGCTGTACCCTCAGGCAGGGTGAGAGGCACCGAACCCCCTGGACACCCACAGCACAGACTCTGGGACGAACTCCCCCCACCCATGAGCCAGGATAGGGGGGGCTAGGGAAGAGGAGGGGGGAGGAGAAGGAGGGATAGAGAGGAGGGACAAGGGAGGGGCTGAAGGCCTCTGAAGCAAGAGCGGGGCAGGGGGCAGGGGAGGGAGACGGGGAGGAGGAAGGAAGGAGAGAGAGAGAGGGAGCGGGAAGCCCTGGAGCTTGGTTCGCCCTCACAGCAGATGCAGCTGCGAAGTCCAGCCAGCAGGCAGGACGGGGCAGCCGGCTGCAGGCGGGCAGGCTCGCCCCTCTGCAGACCGAGGGGCCGGCGGGACTGGAGCACTCACCCGCCCCGAGACACCACCAGCTTCACTTTCACTTTGTAGGACACGATGATGCCCAGGATCTCTCTGTTGGCGCCTTCCCTCAACCTGCAAGGCGACACAGGACGCTGGTTCGTGGAGACCCCTGGGCGGGCGAGACGGGCCGGGGCTTGGGGGAGAAGCCTCCTGTCCCTCTCCTGGGCCCTCAGCCGCCAGGAGCAGGCAGAGCGATGTGTGGGAATGGTGAGCGCTGCCTTCCGGGTGGGGGCTTGGGGAGGAATGACCGTGGGGCAGGGACTCCCTGTCTTTGAGGACCATCCACCTGCCCTCCTCCCTCCAGCCCTCCCAGCCCCTCCTGATTGGCCCTCTCCTGTGGGACCTCCCAGGAGCTCTGCCCTCACTGGCTCCACATGGTGCCTCAGGGACAACCCGTCTGACTGCAGGCACCAGGCTAGGGCTTGTCCCTCACAGGAAGCCTCTCCAGGATGCTCCCCACAAGCAGGAGCGCAGCCTTGGTCTGGGCCCATCCTGTCTCTGGGTCATTCCTGGATCATGGTGGGGGTGGGGGTGGGGGGCAAAGGGACAGCTTCCCTGGCCACTATGCTCCTGAGGACGGTCCCTGGACCACGCTCGGGAGGAGGCTAACCCAGGCCGTGTGCCGGCACCGGTGAGGCCAAGGCAGGTGTGGACGGGGAGGGAGGGGTGCACACTGGTAAGGCCAAGGCCGGTGTGGACAGGGAGGGGAAGGGGTGCACAGGGTGAGCATCGGAGAGCCTGGAACCGGGGCGGCGGGTCCTCACAGGGTGCTGGAGGCCAGGTTCGTGTCTTCGTGCTTGAGCTTCCCGTCCAGGGCGAGGCCCCGCTTCTCTCGGTTGTTGGCCAGGAAGGGGGTCAGCGTGTAGACCTTGCAGAACGTGGAGCTGGGCGCCACCGTGTCGCTGGGAAGAAGGGAGGCAGGTGTCGAAATGGCCCCCGGAGCCAGCCCCAGCCCGGCCCGGACACCACCGAGACCACAGTGACATTTTTTTTAAATGGTTTTTTGTTTTTGTTTTTTTTAGTTGCAAACATACTGATGGCTATTCCATGTAAATAAACCCACACACATGGGACAAATGAAATGAAATGCAACTACTCAGACATGTACACGCAGGGTCAGGAGAAAAAAACAACACGTCTTCCAACAGGAGCATCTACCCCTTCCAGGTGAGAAAGAATGTCTCACTTGAGATCTTCCTTCTCTCCTTCCCTGCTAACAAGCTTGGAACAAAGTTCCACGCTCAGTCATAACAGCGCTCCTCAAACCTAGGTTTTGTGAAAATTAATCATTCTCTACCCTCCCCCACCCAGTGGGCTGGGCTGTTCCTTCGTCAGACTGGAAACGCCGGGTACCGGGCGCCACCAGCTCTTGGCTTTGGCTGCCAGGAAGCTCAGAACAAGTAGCTCGCTTCCACATAGGTTTCAGGTACAGTATCATTATGACCGCCGTTTCCTTATAGTCGTTAGCCCTTATTTTGTTGTTCTAGTTTTGTATTTTTATGTTTTATTTTTTTATTGATTTTTTATTTATTTCAGAGAGGAAGGGGAAGGGAGAGAGATCTCTGATAGACACATCAATGACGAGAGAGAATCATTGACTGGCTGCCTCTTGCACCTGCCACACAGGGAACCGAGCCCACAGCCCGGGCATGGGTGGATGCTGAGCCACTGAGCCACCCCGCTGGGCTGTCATTGTAGTGTGAGTGGGCCTTTTCCTTGACGGTAGCATGCATGTTCTTGCAGCTAAATCGAGTGGATGTTTTTTAACGGCTGCTCTGGTTCAGCTACCGGGAGTGGCGTGGGAGCCCGAGGCCCAGCGCCCGGCCCGAGGCCTCTGGCCCTGTGAGTGGACCCAGGGTTCTCTTCCCCACCCAGTCCCATGTGCCCGAGGCGGGCCTCCTGCTCACTTACTCGGCCTCCTCCAGGGCCACGGGGCACTTGTACTGGGCTGTGTTGAAAAGGCAGATGTCTGCATACTGGCGCACTGGGGAGGGAGAGGGAGACGAGGCGTGTGAGTCCGGGGGGCAGCTCCCTCGCCTCCTAGCCGCCCCTGAGTTGGGGGTGGTTAGCCCCAGGCAATGGTCAGGGTCCCCTGTGGGTTCCCACAGGAGACCGCCCCCCGCCCCCACCCAAAGGGCAGCCCAGACACACCCATCCCTTCCAGAACCAGCATCTTCCCCTCGGGGACAGCTCTGCCCCGGACCCAGGGAACCTGAGAGGAGGCGGCTTACACGGTAAACCCATTCCCTGGCCATCAGCAGCCTCCAAAGCCTTCCTCTTAGGCCTAGAGCAGCCCTGGTTTCCCTGTAGCCGGCGACCCCCCATCCCTGGGAGGAGTCCCTCGTGCCCGCCCCCCGGGCTGGCCCTCCACCGGGGTACCCGAGATCTTGATCTTCTTCACCGTCTTGTTGGTGTTGTTGGTGACGTGGACGTTGACGTTGATGGGCTCTCCGTGGTAATAGATCTGGGAGGCGAAAGAAGGGAGAAGGCTTGGGTGGGAGGTCACCAACGCTCTGAGGGGGCCGGGGAGGCGGAAGAGGCCTCACACACACACATCTCCTGGGGCTCCCCAGACCGTGGCCCTCTGATACGGGCCCCTTGTTCATCAGCCACTTCCCGCCGAGGCTAAGCCACTAGGCATGTTAGACTTCGGTTCCGTTGGGGGACTTCGAAAGACTTTACATTAGAAGGTGATACCCCTGGGCTCCGACCCTGGCTTAGCACCAGAAGCAATAATGACACTCAGAACAAGAGGGGTGGGCTTGGACAGGCTGTATGAACCTCAGCTTGCCCCTCTGGACAGCGGGGGGAGCTGGCCCGGGTGCTGGCGTATGAAGTCCTGGCCGGCCTTGGCCGCCTGGAAGGTGAGACATGGGAGGGTCTAGAAGAAGCAGGAAGTAGGTGGGGAAGGGTCGGGAGCACGGAGGAACCAGCTCTGAACCCTTACGGAAGGGCCTCAACGTGAATCTTGCCCCAAGAACTTGCCTTCAGCTGTTCTGAGACAAGAGGAGGGACGCTCACAGCTCACGGGTGGACGGAGGGTAGAGGGGGGAAGGGTAGGGGGTGGAAGGGGAAGATGACCAGGACCCGGGACCCTTTGGGAGGGACACTGATTTCTGAAGTCAATCACTCCCTTCAGGCGCATGCCCTCTGCTGCCACCCCTTAGGTTCCCAGAGGTTCCCCCAAACCCCCAATGGAAATCTCAGGTCCCCTGTGCCCTGTGATCCTGGAGTTGGGGGTAGAAGCTCCTATGGAGGGGTCCTGAGGCCACGAAAGAGCTGGGACCTGAGGCTCCAGTGTGATCGACAGCTCCCTTCCCGCCCTCCCCCCCTAAGTCCCCACCCCCAAGTCTGAGCAGCCTACCTCCTTGTCCAGGGAGGCCTCGAGGTGCAGGGGCTTGTCCGACATGAGGAACTGCCTGGTGGTCTCGGCCGTGGGCTGGGGGCCAGGCCTCTCGGGGGCATACTGGACCTTCCTGATCACCAGGCGCACAGAATTCCTGGTGGAGAAGAGGAGCCAACGGTGACCCGAGCCCCCGCCTCCACCCCCTTTCCTCACCATCCTCACGTCCTTCTCCCGCTCCAGAGCCTGCCATCCCTCCCCACAGCCTCAGACTCCAGTCCAAAATGCAGAGATTGGCATGGGAGCCTTGTCACCATCTGGCACCCCCACCTCCTCTCTGTCATCCCGGATGTTCTATCTAGTCATTTCTCTGAAGCCGCCCTTGCACTGGGGCCCCACCTAGCATACCCTCTTTCCACTGCTTCTGTCTTCGCTTGCTTTCATCTTCGAGGCCCAGCGTAACGCCTCCTCTTCCAGGAAGCCTTCCTGGATCTGCCCTATTTGGATCTTCCCATGGTCTGAACCCCAACAACATCAGAGCCGAACCACCCCACGGCAGCGCGTCCTGCGGGTTTGTCCTAGTAGCCCTTCCTGCATGCCTTACGTCGACTGATCCTGTAAGCTCCTTGAAGACAGACATTTCTGTCTACATCGTTCACGGCTTATTCTCAGTACCTGTGACAGTGTCTGCCATCTCACAAGTGCCGGCTAACTGTTGATTAAATAAAAATGTGCAGGGAACATGGACCCCGAGACGAAATGGGGCCTTGACGAGGAGGCGGGGTCAGTGACGGGGCATGGACTCGGTCAGGGGGTGCGGCCAGGGAAGAGGATAAAGACTCAGTGAGGGAGAGGAGGCCCAGAGACAAGATGGGGCTCGGTGTAGGTGCCTGGGGCTCAGGGCGGAACAGGACAGGGGGACAGGGGGCTCGGGGAGGCAGTCTCCATGACGTGTTCGATATGCTGGCGCCCCCATTTCTCTGATAAGCCACCTCCGTCCCTGGAACCAGACAGACAGCCAGGGCTAAAGTCCTCGCTCTCCCCTCACTAACTATGACCCTGAGTGCAGGAGCCTCCGTGTCTCAGCTCCGCATCTGGAAAACAGCAATAGTAGCAGGACCACCCCTTAGGGTAGCTACGAGGATTCAATTAGTTCGGGCATGCCCACCACTTTGAATACTGCCTCGCACTTAATAAATCTTCGATGAATGATAGCTGCGTTACCATTATTAGTAGTAACTCTGGTCAGGACTTAAAGTGCCCCATTGATGGTGAGTGAGGGCGGTGCTCTCAGTGCGGCTCCTCTTTCTTGCTCTGATCAGGCTCCACTCAAACACACACACACACACACACACACACCTACTTTTCTCTGGGACAGAAAAGCAAGGAAGAAGAGTACCATTTCTGCCCCCCAACACACACTAGCTGTCCAGGAGGAGGTGCCTGCAATACACCTACAGCCACCAGGTGGCGCACTCAGCCCACCCCTTCAGCCCGCCTCCTGGCCTCCTGCAGGAAATGTCCCAGGCCGCGTGCCTGAGTTGGGGCTGAGAAAGCCCACCCCACAGTCAGGGCCGGCTGTTTGGGGCTGCCAGCCTGGGCTCCCTGTGTGCCCCGAGTTGTGGCCCTCCAGGAGAATACTTCCCCTCTCTGAGACATGAGCTGACCTCCCTGCCTTTCCCCTGGGTGCATTCACTTCTCCACTTCCCTCCCTTCTTAGGAGCTTCCATTGACACCCACCACTACCACCACCTGCTGCTGAAGGCCTCTCAGGAGGAGAACTGGGAAACGGGGCCTAGGATGGCCTGGGAATAACTAAGCTCCCTATTTAAGACAGTCTGGATTTCAAGGGTTTTCAAAACAAAGTAAAAATAAAGAAATAAAATAAAATCTGAAGGGGACGAGACTCGAGGCCAGGGAGATGGAGGACGCAGGTACAAGGGTGTAAAGAAAAAAAATGCTGGAGCCTGAGCCAGGGCAAGTGAGCCGCCGCCTCCAGGAAGCCCTCCAGGACCTGCCGGCCTTCCAGAGCGCCCTCCTCGGAGCTCCCAAAGCTGGAATGTGTGGGCCCTCCCTCCCAGAACACTTCCAGGCATTGTCACTTATCTCTTCGGACGCCCCAGCCGGCCTCCCTCGCTCTGCCCACACCCCTGGCGGCCGGGAGCTGCGTCCCTCTGTCCCTCTTCCTCACCGCTTGTGGATCTTCTCCTCCAGGCTCTCGGCGCAGAAGGCTTTGACTTCATAGTCCACACCACAGGCCTGCGGGGAGGGGGTCACTGACCACAGGGCCTTGGAGCCAGCGGGGTCCCAGAGCAGGGCCAGCCACCCTCTCATTTCACAAAGGAAGGTGCTGGAACGGAAGCCGGAGTTCCCACAGCCCCACGGCCCCTCGGTCTGACCCAGGGCTGTGCCGCCTCCTTCTGCGGCTGCCACCTGGCCTTCTCCCAGAGCTGATGCCCAGCTCCCCCAATACAGGCTCCCCCCACAGCCCCAAGCACCCTCAGGGGCTCCGTCCTACAGGCTCCTGCCTCACCTGGGTGGCCACCCTCCCCAGGGCAGCTGCCCAGACACACGCAGGAGCCTCAGCAGCCCGGGTGGGAGCGCCCCCTGGTGTGGACCAGGCCCTGGGGGCATTGCTTCGGGTCTCACTCCACCCTCACAACCACCCCAGGAGCACCTCCTGTCATCTCCCTCTGGCGGAGGAGGGGACGGGCTCAGAGACCCGGGGCCCGGGACACTTCTGGGGCCACTTCCCTCCCAGAGAAACGCTCCCTCCGGAATGGCCCACCTTCCCCGTGTCTTCCGGCCCCGGCTGCAAGGTCACCGAGCACGGGAGGTTCGGAGGGATCTGCGGAGAGGACGGACGGAATACAGACAGAGTGAGCCTCCTGCCACGCTGCCCACTTCCCTCCCCACGGGCCCCGCCCCCACCCACAGGCACCAAGCCAGGGGCCCCCACGCGCAGGCATGTCTCTCCCATCAGGCCAGCGGCTCCCGAGGACAGACCGGGTCTCCCCCGTCAGACCTCCCCAAGCCACACCCTCCGGGAAAGCCAGGGCTTCAGTGTGTGGTCTGTATCTAAAGGGTTTAGCCTAGCCGAAGCCGGTGTGGCTCAGTGGATAGAGCGTCAGCCTGCGGACGGAAGGGTCCCAGGTTCGATTCCGGTCTAGGGAATGTACATTGGTTGCAGGCACATCCCCGGTTGGTCGATGTTTCTAGCTCTCTATCCCTCTCCCTTCCTCTCTGTAAGGAATCAATAAAATATATTTTTAAAAAATAATAAGAAATAATAAATTAAAATAAAGGGGTCAGCCCAGCCCAGTCCTCGCAGAACCGCGGACAGAGATCTTTCCGTGAGGTCTCCTGTGGGGGGCGGGATCATGGCCCCAAAGATGTCTGCGTCCAACCCCCAAACCCGTGACTCTGTTACCTTACGTGGCAAAAGGGACTGTAGGGGTGTGGTTACGTTAAGGACCTCGGGCCAGAGTCCTTAATGGTGGAAGCAGGAAGCAGAAGAGCCAGCACCGACGATGGGCTGTGAGACTGACCCCACGCTGGGGGGTGGGGGAGGCTAGGAGCCTAGGAACGTGGGTGCCTCCAGAAGCTGGGAAAGGCCAGGAACCGACCCTGCCCCAGAGCCTCCGGGGAGCACAGCCCCACCCCGCCGACACCATGGCTTCAGCCTGGGGCGGCCCGAGGACTGTGACCTCTGACCCCCAGGACTGTGAGTGTCACCGCCACCGGGTGTGTGGTGTTTGGCCACTGCAGCCACGGGAGACCAATTCACGTGTGATGGCGAAGATGATCGTACCCTCTCCCTTCCCCAGCCCCCCCCCCCCCCCAAGAGAGCAAGGAGGCTCCACCCCCTTACAGAAGCAGAGTCTGAGGAATGGGGCGTTTTAAAACCCAGAGTCTGGGAGTCCCAGGATGGCAAGATGGCAGAGCCCGGAAATCCACTACTTGCCGTCCCTCGTGGGGGAGCTGGGCGCGGGGGCAGCCAGCCTGAGGCAGGAGACAGCCTTGTAGTGACCCAGGGGTGAGAAAGGGCTCCTTCTTTCTCTGCAGCTCCCTCCACCTCCTCCCCCCAACCCCCACTCCCACCCCCGTGACCTGGAACCAGGAGGGGCTGGGGAGGGGCTCGGAGGTCAGGGTGACGCCCCTGGCAGGGAAGAACCGTGACAGGGCACCAGGTCCACCCCTGCCCTGGGGACGAGGTGCCATGGAGCGCCCCCGCCCAGAGGCCTCCTGGAGGTGGGGCTTCGGAACGCCCCGGGGAGCCGGCCGCTGACCTCGAAGGTGAAGGGGTAGGCGTGCTCGCCCAGCTTCTTGATGAGGCGCTCCTGCAGCCGGGTCAGCGGCTTCTTGTCCTCGGGCGCCGGCGGGAAGGACTGCACGTTGGCCACAAACAGGTCCTTGCGGAAGGTCAGGCCCAGGACGTCCAGGTCCTCCCGGCCGTAGCGGAAGGCGCAGGTCAGCGTCACGTAGACTGTGGGGGCGGGGGGCGCTGAGGGCGGCTGGGGGGGCGGCCAAGCCTCCCCCCCCCCCAATGGCGGCCGCTGTCGCCCTGGGACGGAGACAGCTGCAGGCCCCGGGTCTGCCCCCACGTTCCCACTGGGAGGGCCCACTGCCCTCGGGACGGGGGCATGGGATGGTGGGAGCGGGGCACCTGGAGGAGGTGGGGGCCGTCTGCCGGGTCAGCTCTGTCCTCCACCCCAGGCCGGCTCCAGCCCAGGGCGTGTGGTGGGCACAGGTGGGGAGGGCGGAGGAGCGCAGACAGGTGCTGGGTGACACCCAGAAGGCACGGGGTCGTCTCCCAGCCTGACCTCTGCCTCCTGTCCGCCTGCTCACCTCGGACACGCCTTCCCCTCCCCGGCAATCAACTCTCTCTTTGTACAAGGACTCTGCCTGCTGCCCTGTTTGCAACCCAGCCTTTCCCTCGAGGTGCACGGAGGTGATAGTGCTCAGGGCCCTCCCCGGTGGGCCTGGGGCAAGGCACCCGCTGGACGCGGTGGGGGCGGTGGAGGGAAGGGCGGTGGGGAAGGGCGGGGAGAGGAGTGTCACCGGCTGCCGGCCGGCCGGCCTCGGAGTCAGGGAGGCCGCGATGGAGGGTGGGGCTTGGGGAGAGGAGGCCTCTGGCCAGGCGGGTGGGCCCTCACCTCTCCTCTCCTTGAGGTACTCGGGATCCACCAGGACCACACCATCTGGAGGAAGGACAGCGAGTTGAGCAGACCCTCCTCCCCAGGTGACCTCTCAAACCCCTGAGCCCCAAACACAAGCCAAGCCCAAGCCCAAGCCCAAGGCATCCGTCTGTCCAAAGCAGCGTGAGAGAAACGGGGACGCCGGCACCGGGGACGGCACCACCCTCCCGCCTCCCGCCCCCGCCCCAGGCTGGCCCTACGGACCCCGAGGGGGCCGGGCAGTTTCTCCATCTTCCAGGCCAGCGGTCGGCAAACTCATTCATCAACAGAGCCAACCATCAACGGTGCAACGACTGACACTTCTTTTCAGAGCCACTTTTTTTTTTTAACTGAAACTTCTTCTAACGCCACTTCTTCAAAGTAGTCTCGCCCAGGCCGTGGTTTTTTTGTGGAAGAGCCACACTCCAGGGGCCAAAGAGCCACATGTGGCTAGCAGTCCGCAGTTTGCCGACCACGGAGCTATCGTAGCCACCTGGTTTGGAACCCCTATCCCAGGGTGTCACCGGGGATTTAGACGCTGTGGGCTGCAGGAAGGCCGTGGGGCACGTCTCCCCTGCGTTCTGAACCCCTCCCTCCGCAGCCCCGGGCAGCGCCTGACGGAACCCCGGCCTCCTCTGCGCTACGTCCCCTCGGCCATGAGTGAACCCTGCATCTCCCTGAGGAGCAGCGTCAGCGTCCGGGGCCTCCCGGACCTGGGATCTGCAGGTCGGGTTGGTGAGGCCATTGTCCCTGCCCGCGGGGCTCCGCGAGGACGGCTGAGTTACCGCGGAGACAGCGCTGAGTGGTGCGGGCCTGGGGGCCGCCGTGGAGAATGTGCCCGGGCCTGGCCTTGCGGGGCAGAGCCCAGCCAGACACAAAGGACAGGGTCTCCCCCGGAACCCCCAGGAGGCCGGACACCGGCTCAGGCCTCCCATCCCCAGAGTCACCTCTGGCCGAACTCCACCCAGCCTCCTAGCACTGAACAAGCTAACGTCCCCTTCTGCCCACAGCTGACCTGCCACGCCCGCACCCCCACCTCACGCTGCCCCACGGCGGGCCTCTCCGGGAGTCCGAGAGCGCGTGCCCACATCTGGACGTGAGTGCCCACATCTGGATGTGAGTGCCCACATCTGGACGTGAGTGTTCAGAGGGCCTACGTCCCATCCCAATGCTGGGCAGGTCTGAGGCACAGCTGGCCCGGAAGCGCCCGCCCCTCCCACAGCCTGCCCTGCACCTTCCCTCCTTTTACTGGGGGCGTCCCGCGGTGCCTGGGCACCAGGGCTCATGGCCCATCAGTGCAGAGGGCACCCTGTGAGGGCACTCCTTCCAGCCAGGCAACAGGGCAGGCTCTCTGGGGACCAAAGCAGTAACCATGTCTTAAAGGGCAAGGAAGGGTCAGCCGAGAGGACCAAGGGGGCGCTGCAGGCAGGTCTCCGGGACCCCAGGCCCAGCACAGGGCCGGCCTGAGGTCGGTGCTCTCTTGGACACTTGCTACGCGGCTCTCAGGGTGCCGGCGTGCTGCCCCTCCGGCTGCTGCCCTGCCCCCAGCTCTGTGCCCCCTCTGTTGCCCTCCCTACCAGGCCACTGGGTCGGAGGCTGTGCCTGGAAGCAGGCCACTGGTGAACTCTGGGTGCTTGCCCATGGCCGCCGAGGGACCCGTTCAGGAAGGAGATGCAGGTGGCAGAGGGGACCCTGAGCTTTGCAGCACACTTTCCAGTGTCCCCAACAGGGTGGGGAAGAGGGGGGCGGGGGGGGGGGGGGGAGACAGCCTGCTCTGGGCAGGAAGGGGGAGACCTGGACCGGAGCGGACCTCTCTGCAGCCTGGAGGCTCTGCTCACACCGCTCCCGACCCAGGGCCCCCGGTCTCCTGCCCCACCGTCACGGGGTCTTCCTCTCAGGGAGCTGAAGCTCCGCTCCCATAGGGCTCCGTCCCCACACGGCCCGCTCGATCCGTCCTCCTGGCCCCGGGCAGCCGTGGCCGGGTGTGAGGACCGAGGCCTCCGTCTCCGATTCTCCCCCAGGCAGCACAGCCCAGATTCTTCACCCGGACGTGTCTCCGGCAGCCCCAGGGCCCATCCTCCCAAGCGGCCACCTCCCCCTGCCTCACTTCGTTTGCTCGTGTTTTTCTTTAAAAATATCCTTTAACCTCTCTGGGCCCCCTGTCCCCATGTGTCCATTAGGAGTAATTTGGGGCCTCCCTCCCCCCGACAGTTACGGGAAGGCAGTGAGGTGAAAGCTCTGGCTTTTAGAATCCTAACCAAGGGGACGTTAGCGATAGCTAAAAACGCTTTATGTCCTCCGGGGCTGGGGTACTCCTGGGTAGAGGCCATGAGTAGAGGCCAGGGATAGTCATAAATATCCTCCGGTGCCCAGGACAGCCTCGGCAACAGAGTATTATCCAACCCCGAATGTCACGCGTGCAGAGGTTGAGAAGCCCTGATGGGAGAACAAGACGTCGGAAGGAGGTGTCTCAGGCTCTGGGAGGACCTGTGAGAACAGTCTCCATTTCGGAAGCCCCACGGTTTCCCTGCCCTCGCCACCAGGGGGCAGCAGAGCAAAGGTTTCCCCGTAGAGTCAGTCTGTCGGGTTTGAGTCTAGGACCTTTGACCTACAAGCTCCGTGACCTGGAGCAAGTCACTTAACCTCTCTGGGCCGCGTCTCCCTGTCTGTAAAGCTGGGGTAATAACAGTGGCGCCCCCTGGTATCTGGCAGAAGCCGTACAGTCAGGGGTGGCTGCTGTCCTCATCCTGCATTATCGTCAGGACGCCTTCCCTGTGCCTCACCGCAGTCCTTCCCACGTGGCCCTCAGCTAAGGGGAAAGTGGCTGCGCCGTCAATGTTTCCCCACGGATGCGGGAAGCTTCTCACAACCCATTCCTGGCCCAGAGGTCTGGGCTGCGGGAACACACACTTCTCTGGAAGGGGCCTGGCCAGCCGCACCCCCCCACCCCCACCCCACAGCGCCTGCCTCCCTGGCCCCCAGGGACTCACCCACGGGGTCCACGAAGTCGATGTGATCCACAAAGTCCCGCTTCCCCAGGTAGACGGTGAGCTGGGGAGGAGAGGCACAGGTTAGGGGAGCAGCCGTGGGCCCGAGAACATACTCCCGAGAAGCCACTGGCCCTCCCTCGCCCTGGAGAAGACCTTGGGAGCTGCCCTGGCAATGCCTAGGCCCACCCCCAACCCTCACTGAAACCCTGACTGGCCTCGCGCGGGAGCCCAGCCCCCGTACCAACAACAGCAAACCTGGCGCGGGTTTGGAAGCACCTACTCATCCCGAACTCCTACGAAGACGTTGCCATTGTTTCCCTTTCACAGGTGGGGACCCTGAGCTCTGGAGAGATCTCGCCCAGCACCCCAGCAGAGGTGTGCTAGGCCGGAGTCCTGGGCGCATCCCCGAGAGGCCAGGGGAGCGCGGAGCAGGGATCCTGGTGTGACGCTCTGAACACTGAGGCCCACACAGGCTGGCAGGGTGCTGAAGCAGCGAGGGACCGGCCGCTGGTGCCCCACGCGGTGGCCATCCCTCAGGGAAAACCACCCCGGGCTAGAATCCCGAGGGTCATCCAGACACTTCCTGCTCCTCCACCCCCCTAAACCCTCCCAGGGCACCCTCCTCTCTGTTTCCACAGCCACTCCTGCCCGGACTGCGCACCGGCCGCTCCAGGGTCTGCTGCCTGCGGCCGCACACCCCCCTTAGCCAGCCGGGCTCTCCTAAAACGCTAACCTGCCGATGCCATTCCCATCTGAAAACCCTTTAATGGCTCCTCCGTGCCCAGAGGTAAGATGACAAATGCGTTTCATCCAAATGCCAACGTTGATCGATGGATAGGAGCGCCGGGGGGGGGGGGGGGGGGGGGTGGCCTGGGCTGAGGCAGGATCGGGGATGGAATCCTGGCTCAGCAGGAAAGGGGCCTGGGGGTGTCTGCTGCACCAGCACCCGAGGTGCCACTCGCCAGCCCGGGTGGAGTCCTAGCCACTGAGCCTGTCCCCCGGCTCCCCGGGACCCAGCCCTGCAGCCTCCCCGCCTCAGCTCCTGGTCCCTCAGCCTCCTCCTGTGCACTCACGGTCCCCCCACACGCCCTGTGATGTACGTGCGTGCCCAGATGCTCTCTGCACACCCTGCCGTGCCTGGAAACTACACCCCCGGGGCAGGGGGGCACCGTCCCTGGCCGCGGGGCTGGGTCCTGCAGCACCTGCACAGCCCTTTCCCTGCTCTCTGCCCCTTTAAATGGAAATGATCACTTGTCATGTCTGCCTACCCCCCTCTGGCTGTGGGTGGCTCTCGGACCTGCCTCATTTATCTCCATATGCCCTCCCCAGCCCCCACCCCCTCACATGAATGATGTCGGTAATATCTGTCTGCTGAACGGAGAGGAAAGCAGGACAGAGCTGGGGGCTGTGAGGAGAAGGAAAGCAGGGCAGGCGCGGGGAGCTGCCCCGTGGCCGGGATGGCACCGCGGCTCAGCAGAGGCTGCAGGCCGCTGCTCACACCCGGGAAGCAGGCCCTGAGGCCCTTGGACTTACTCCAGCGGCCGCACCCACGCTGGAGTCTCTCTGTGGTGGGCTGCGTCTCCCCACCCCAGAGCAGGGGCTCCTGGAAGTCCAGGGGAGTTGTACCACCCCAACCCCCCAGACAGGAAGGCTCCCGAGGAGATCCCTCTCCCCCTCCCCCCCCCCGTGGCGAAGGCTCCTAAGGGCTTCCCGGGAGGGTGTGCGGGTCCTGCGTGGTCAGTAGTCATGCCCAAGGGAGGGTGAGAGCTCGGGGTCAGGGAGGGTGAGAGCTCGGGGTCAGGGAGGGTGAGAGCTCAGGGTGCAGACTCACCTTCCCATTGGGGCTCGCCTTCTTGAACACCCTGTGGAGAGAAAGAGGGTCAGCACGGCCCACCCAGGGGAAGGCCCTGCAGGGCCCAGGACAAGGGGCCTGGCGTGGTTTTCAGGCACTGTCTCAGCCTTGAGAGCCAGAACAGTGCCCAGCATAGCCAGACCTCACCGTCTCCGCCCTCCCACCCACCCCCACCCCCATCCAAGCCATTGTTATTGCCAGGATAGCTCTCCGGGCCCTGGCCAGGGCCCCTCAGTCTGTTCTTTAACCAGCAGGTGTACGTCAGACCACACCGCTCACCCACCCACACTCCGCCCAGTTCACGCAGAGGACAGGTCTGCCCCCTGCTTCCTTCATGTCTGCCCTGTCTCCCAGCATCGACTCACACTTTTCTCCCTCCCTCCTCCAGCCACGGGGCCTCCTGCCTCGGGCAGGGCCTTCGCTCTGGCAGCCCCCTCCCCGGGGGCACGCTCCCCCACAGCCTGAAGGGCGGGTCTCTGCCCTGTGCTCCTTCTCTCCTCTCCTTTTCCTTTCTCCACAGCTCTCATGTTGCCCTGCCCCCTAACTGCTGGGTGCCTGTCCACTCTGCTAACCTGTCAGCTCCACCAGGGCTGGCATCTTTCTAACCCTTCTTCCCTGACGTGTCCCGAGCGCCTAAAGGACTCACCCAGTGGGTGTTGAATAAATGTGCTGATGAATGGCAGGTGGCAAGCACTCAATACGTATTAGTTGAGTGGGTGAACGGATGAACGAGTGAAGGAATTAGCCGAGAAACTGAGGCCCAGGAAAGGGGAGGGATGTGCCCCTGGTCACACAGCAGAGCCTGAGCCCCCCTCACCTACCCCCCATCACGGAGCCCCAGGAATGCTCCGAGTAATGTTGGGAGGGAGAGAAAAAAAAGTAGAGAATGACAGAGACAGAGACCTGGGGGATAGGAGAACATGTTGGAGAAGGCAGAGGGCGGGAGAGAGACATGGCCTGGCAGGTGTGAAAATAAAAATGAAATTAGAGCCCTCGTCGGTTTGGCTCAGTGCATAAGAGCATCAGCTTATAGATTGAAGTCCCCAGTTCGATTCCAGTCCAGGGCACAGGCCTCAGTTGCAACCTCCATGCAGGAAGCAACCAATCGACATGTCTGTCTCGCATCGATGTTTCTCTCTCTCCCCCTCTCCCCTCCACAATGTATATATTTTTTAAAAAGTCAATGGAAAATTATCTTTGGATGAGGATTTCTTTTAAAAGATAGAATTAGAAATGAAAAAACAAACAGAAAGAGGGAGAGGAACAGTCAGAAGCAGAGAGAGACACAGCAGACCCGGGGTGATGGAGCAGGTCCACACACAGCCCACACCCTCCCCAGCAGCAGGAGACCCAGCAGGCACCCAGGGCCAGGCAGGGTGAGGCCACCACGTCGCAGCACAGTCATTCCTCCAAAAAGAGAAGTGAAAGGGGGCTCTGTGTTATCTCCATAGCCCACCACCCCCAACCCGTCCCCGCACACCTACCCCTTATCCTGGGCCTCAAGGGACCACAGATGAGTCTGAGTTTGGCTTGCAAGGAAGGGCCTGGCACATTCCTCCCCCACCTCCCCTAGGAGTTCTGAGCTCTTCTCCTCCTCATAAATATTTATCAGTATTTGGAGTGTGAAGATGCCACAGTCAGCTGGAGTGTAATAACTGCTAACGTGATAAAAAAAAAAAAAAATTTCAGATCACATAGTTTGAACTAGCAGCTCCCAAGTTGGGCTGGACCTGCAGAGGGGACCAGACATCCCTCAGAGGAACAGTGACACATCTTGGGCACAGGAGGGGGCTGGGGGCAGGGCTGAGATGATAAAACAAGGGAGGAAGGGAGTTAGGAAGGAACTCGAATTTGCTAAGTACTTGGTTAACTGTTTCTCCTGACAACACTGTAAGATGCGCAATCTAACCTCTATTTTATAGACGATAAACGAGGGGCTCAGAGAGATGGAGTAACTTGCCCAGGAGCCCACAGCAAGCCAGGGGCTCTGTCGGGATTCAGACCCAATTCTGCTGTCTGCCTCTAAAAGCTGGGTCCTTCCATTCAACCCTGCTGCTTTCTAAAGCGGGTGCTTTTATCCCGCCCAGAGACCGAAAAGAGGGGACATAAAGGCAAGAGAGGGGAGGGGAAGGAAAGGGCCAGCGAAGGTGAGGAGAGTGAGGGTGCGAGAGGCAGGCAGCATGGCCGGTGGCGGGGAGTGCTCTGTCAGCCCCTCAGGCCACCTCCTCAGGGAGCTGGGCTGCTGATGGTTTTCTCCAACAGCAGAGCAGCTGCCCGTGACCGGAGAGCATGTGATGGGCCAGTCATGTCTCCAAGTGTTCTTCCAAACACACTGACCATCCTTCAACAATCCCATTTCCCAGGTGAAAACACTGAGGGTCAGGCAGGTGAACTGTGGCTGCGTTTCCACCCTGACATACAACCAAACCCTCCCCGCAGCAACTCCGCCAGCTTCCTGACCCCAGGGCTGTCAGCAGAGGGCCCCTGTGGGGGTGCTTCAGGGCCAAGGGGCCCCCACATGTGCAGCACCACTCAGAAGGCTTCTTCCTGCCCGTCCGCTTTGAAGAGCGAACACCAACGCACAAGCCTGTGATCAGAGCCAAACTTCCAGACTGTGGGATGGATGCGCCTGGCTTACCCACACCCCCACACCCCTACCCCCACCCCGAGTCCCGTCTCTGTCCCACAAGCCTGGTTCTCAGAGTCACAGCCAGGTCCCACACAGAAAGCACCAGGGGTGCTCTAGCTGATTGAGGCTCCCTGGAGACCAGGAACAGAAACCCACGGAGGGCAGCCCTGGAAAAGGAGGGGGGGAGGATAAGGAGGCAGAAATCTCACGGGAAGAGTGCGCAGGAAGGATGCCCTGGTGCTGGCGCCGGGATCAGGGAAGCCATCGGCCTCTCAGACGGACGCTCGCTCTCTCCACCTCTCCCTCCGGGGCTGCCCGTTCTCCCGGCTGCACTGCTCTCCGTGCGGCTGCTCCATCGTCTCTGTGGACCAACTCTCTCTCTCTCTCTGCTTACTCGGGCCTTTTCTGCTCTTCCATCACTTTGGCTTGCGTCTGGCTCTCACTCTGACCCTCTTCCTACTCTGCCTCTCACTCACTTGCCACTGTTAACTGCTGAATGGCCCAATTCCAGTTCCCAGGAGGGAAACTTCATTGGCCAACTTTGGTCAGGTGTCCTATGCCCGGGCCAATCAGCTCTGCCTAGGGTGTGCCACATGGTCCATGAGACATGGGCAGGAGAGAGTCGATAGAGCAATGTTTTTCAAACCAAGGATCTCAGCCCATTAGATGATAATAAAACCAACTTAAAGGACTGCCACCAGCACTTTGCTTTCGTTGGTTTAATGGAATAGAATGTATAAGCATGAGGTACCGGTAGCAAGGGTAGAGTAGATATTACTGTATTTACTGACACTCCATCCAGGCAAATTTCTGCCGTCCTATGAAGTTAGGCATGCCCGTGTGGCTTGCTCTAGCTAAAGAATCAGGAGTAGAAGTGGCACATCTCATTTCTAGGCAGAGCATTTAAGGGCTGGTACATGCCCACTGTATTCGTTTTTCTTGGAGGCAGGTCAACACTCCGTGAACCAGGATGTGGGCTTCTCCAGATAACCCCATTCCCCACCTGCTGACCAACGTTACACTAATATTCTGCTGCTGTTTCGTGAACCACCGGTCCTCCCAGTGTTCACTGGTGCCTGTAGGAAGAGACCTGCACCACAAGGGACCCAGAACAAAGTACCTTCCAGGACAAATTACCCAACAACTGAGAATTTATAATCCGGTGTGGTACAGCCAAACAATGGAATGCTACATTGCCCTGAAATGGTGCTTGCATCTTTCATAACACAGGGAAATGCCTGTGACCGAATATTAAGCGTAATAAGTCAGGACTCAAAATAATACATTTGTCATGAGCTCAATTTGTACTCAATAAACACACACACACACACACACACACACACACACACACACACACAAAGATAAGATGGCAACACTCCTCAAATTGATCTACAAAGTTAATGTAATTCCTATCAAAATCTCCACTGGCTTTTCTGCAGAAAGTGACAGGCTGATCCTCAAATTCTTATGGAAATACAAATGACCCAGAATAGCCAAAAAAAGAAAAGAAAATATTGAAAAATAAAACTAAAACAAAGTTGGAGAACTTTCACTCCTGAACTCACAATTTACAACAACGCTATAGTAATCAAGACTCTGTGATACTTCCATAAAGATAGACATAGATCCATTGATCTGAGAGATCAGATATAAGCCATATATTTATAGTCAATTGATTGTTGACAAGGGAGCCAAGACAAGACAACAGGGTAAAACAGCCTCTTCAATAAGGGATGCTGAGACAACTGGATATCCATAGGCAAAAGAATGAAGTTACTGGCTCACATTATGTACAAAAAATGAATTAAAAATGGATCAAAAACCTAATGTAAGAGCTACAACTATAAAATTCATAGAAGAAAACATGACCTTGAATTAGGCAATGCTTTCTTAGATCTGATATCAAAATCACAGGCAATGAAAGAAAAAAAAACATATAAAATTGACTTCATCAAAATTAAAAACTTTTGAGCTCCAAAGGTCACTGTCAAGAAAGTGAAAAGAGCCGAAACCCTTTTGGCTCAGTGGTAGAGCGTCGGTCCGCGGACTGAAAGGTCCCAGGTTCGATTCCGGTCAGGGGCATGTACGTTGGCTGCGGGCACATCCCCGGTAGGGGGTGTGCAGAAGGCAGCTGGTCAATGTTTCTCTCTCATTGACGTTTCTAGCTCTCTATCCCTCTCCCTTCCTCTCTGTAAAAAATCAATAAAATATATTTTTTTTTTAAAGTGAAAAGACAACCCACAGAATGGAGAAAATGTTTTCAAATCATGTATCTGATAAGAGCTTAGTATCCAGGATATATAAAGACCTTATTTCAATTCAATAATAAACAAGCAAATAACCCAGTTAGAAATGGACAATGGATTTGAATAGACATCTCT